CCCGCGCCCGCGCTGCGGGGGCCCCCGGCCGGGCGTGCGCAGCCTCGGTTTCCCCGACGCCTCCCGACGCCTCTTCGGTGTCTACTGCTACCGCGCTCCGGGTGCCCCAGACCCAGCTCCAGGAGGCTGGGGCTGGGGCTGGGCGGGCGGAGGAGGTTGGGGGGGAGGATCAAGGGACCCAGCTGCCTGGACCCCGCTGCGTGTCTAGGACCATGAGAACTGGCGTTTGTGGTTGTTGGTGGCTGATCCGGGGGCTCTGCACACCCCCTGGAGACAGACTACTCACCAGAGATCCCTTGGATACATGACACAACTCTGTGGGGAGCTGCAGGCTAACTCAGCTACCTGTGGTCTTTGGACACTGACCACAACTCCTGAGGTCTCCTCGATACGTGACACACCCCTGCAGTACGCTGCAGGCTGACATACCTGTTGTGTTCTTGGTCGCTGACTGCGCTGCCCTCTGAGAGACCCTGACGGTGGCCAAGCCCAAATCTTTGGATATTAGATGTCCCATCTTCCAGACTTTGTCTAGAAGAGCCATGCTCTCCCCCAACCCCCAGGATGCCGGTAGAGCAGCAGGAACCCCCCCACACGGTTTCTGTGGCCTCCTGGAAAGCAGTCCCCCCTCAGTCACCTGGAGGCTGGACCCCCAGGATTAACTGGAGACTGGCCACACAAACCCCCTGCATATCCCAGGAGCTGGGAAACTGGTCTTGGACAGTCAGCTAGCTGTCCACTGAAACAGAAAACTATGGGTCACTAGGAGATCTGCCCTGTGCTGACAGGTGACCCAGAGGCTGGGTATTCCCACTCTTCCAGTGAGTCTTATTAAGTTTCCAAGGTAACATGCCTTGTCCCCAGTCACTATGGAGGACAGCCCCAACACCTCTGGCTTCATGGGAGAATTCCCTCAGCTGGCTCCCATGCCTACCCCTCAGGTATTTCTCTGGCCAGACAGTACACTCACCTGAATGTCCCTCCCCAGGCTCCTTGGGGCTGTCACCAAAGAGATCATTCTCTCAAACCTCAAACCCCTGAAATCTCACTTGCTATAGAGACATGCTGCTCGGCTTCTTTTTTTTGTTTGTTTTTTGTTTTGCTTTGTTTTTGTTTTTTTCAAGGCAGGGTTTCTCTGTGTAGCTTTGGAGGCTGTCCTGGAACACACTCTGTTGACCAGGCTGGTCTCAAACTCACAGAGCTCCACCTGCCTTTGCCTCCTGAGTGCTGGAACTAAAGGCATGAGCCACCACTACCCGACACTGCTCAGCTTCTTAAGGTGACCAAGGCCACTAGTGCAGCCTTACCTGTCATCTCACCCAGTACACCCACCAAAATGGTACACCCTGCTCTCCTGTGTAACCATGGGTACCACACTTCCTTTTTCACTATCCTAGAGACCAGACACCTACCACTCCATTTCTGGCTGTCCCCACCCTGATGGACCACTATGGAGACCGTCTTCCCCACTGAATGTCCTCAGGGTGACCCAGCATTAATTTCTCCAGGACACTCCATGGGATCAAGCTGCCCCTTTCCCAAGGTGCACCTCCAGCTCTTCTCAGCTGTCTAAGCCCCGCCCCCAGACAGCTTGGATCTCACAACTGTTGCCATGGAGACCAAACTCTGGTGTCCAGGGTAACAATACCTGTCCCTCCAAGGCTGTCCCTCCAGGGTCTTGTCCTGTCCAGCTGTCGCCATAGAGACCATCAGTGTCTCCTTGACAACTGACCTGCAGCTTTCAGGAACTTCTTGCCATGGGCAGAGTCCCTCTGAGTGGAGTTGCCTACTGTGTTCCTCAGGAGCCTGATGAATGTCCCTTCTTCAGATGGGCCCAAACAGGGCTCTGCTTCTGGAGCAGCTGTCTGCCATCATTCATTTGCACGCTAACTCTATGTCAGGCAGCAGCTGAGCACAAGCCACCACTGCAACACTGTCCAACATTTTAAATTATCACACCGCAGGTGGGGAAACTGAGGCTGTGGCACTGCACACGGCCATAGCTTTTCTTCCTTGGAGATCAAGGAGGGTGGACTGTCCCTGAAACCACCAATTCAAACAGTTTCTGAGGGCCCATGTCTGCTCAAGGGTCAGGACCAGCATCCAAAGACATCCATAGACAGAGCCACCCCAGATGCAGGAGCTCCCAGCTCTGACGTGCTGCTCAGAGCAGCAAGTGCCCTTGTTGGCACCCTCCTGCCTTCATCCATCTCTGCAAAACCCACCTTTGAGTCTGGAAGCTGTGGGCTCAAGCCACACCTCTTGTTGTAAAATGTTTGATCAAATGACAGAATTTGCCCAGGCTGTTTTCCTGTTTTCTTCTCTGGGCCAGGATTGTTCTGAGGTCCCAGAGTGCAGCCTGCAGCCTGTGTTCAATAAACCTATGTTCCTTTTGATGAATGAGAAATATGGCACTGTGCTCCTCTATCGTCAGTACTGTGGGCTTCTCAGGCTGGGCTGAGAAGCAGCTCCCATTCTGCTTTGCCCACAGACACACACACACACAGAGACAGAGAGAGAGAGGAGAGAGAGGGGAGAGAGAGAGGAGAGAGAGAGGAGAGAGAGGGGGGAGAGAGAGAGAGAGAGAAAGGCAGAGCAGTTTACCAGGTGTCAAGACCAGGCCCTTATGCTCTGACCTCAAGTGCATTGTGGCATGTGTGCATAACAATAATTCTGTGATTTTAAATATGTGTTCAGTCAGGATCTGGTTGTAGCATTGCGGTAGCCATCTATAGTTTTCATTTTAAATGTTTATGTGTTTTGTCTGCACTACTTATGTTCCTGGAGGCCTGAAGAAGAGTTGGATCCCCTAAAACTAGAGTTATGGATGGTTGTGGTTTGAGCCTTGGTCCAGTGCTCTTAATTCATTAAGCCATCTCTCCAGCCTCCTAATTTTTATCTGTACACTTTATTTATTCACTTATTTTTAAAACCATTTTTATAATTCGTTTATCTTTGTTTTATGTGCATTGGTGTTTTGCCTGCATGTATGTCTGTGTGAGTGTGGTGGATCCTGGAGTTACAGACAGTTGTGAGCTGCCCTGTGGGACCTCTGGAAAAGCAGTCAGTGCTCTTAACAGCTGAGCCATCTCTGCATCCCCTGTTCACTTATTAGTAGTGTGTGGAGTGTGTACCAGTGTTTAGAGGATGGGTCTGGGTCTCAGTAGTTGACATTCATGCAGGCCTGCACCAAATCAGGGTAACTCTGGAAAATGTCCATACCATTCTTGGCTGAGCTGCAAGGCGTGGCTTCACCCCTTCACTCTCACCCAATGAAGACAGGGAACTTTACATAGAAAGAGAAAACTCAGAAGCCGGACCCACTTCACGGATGGAAAAAATTTATCTAGCAGTTATCCCACTCTGACACATGCTGTCCAAAAGCCCTAAACATGCTCCCACACCCAATAAACTGGGCGTGGTGACACACACCTTTAGTTCTAGCACTCTGGAGGAAGAGGCAGGTAGATCTCTGAGTTCAAGGCAACTTGGTCTGTAGCAGTGTTCTCAACATGTAGGTCTCAGCCCCTTTGGGGATCACATATCAAGTATTTATATTATGTTTCACAACAGTAGAAAAATTACAAGATAATTTTATGGTCGGGGGTCACCACAGCATGAGGAACATGTTAAAGCTTTAGGAAGGTTGCGAACCACTGATCTACAGAGTGAGTTTCAGGCCAGTTAAGGCTATACAGTTAGGGCTATACTGTTTCAAAAAATAAACCAACCACCCCCAAAACCCTAAACCAGATCCCTCGTGATCACCCTTTCCAGCACAGGTCCCTACCACTAAGGCCCAACTGGAGCACATGTCTTCATCCTATGTGCATGACTGTCTCCACTGCAGATGAGGGTTTACATACCTAGCAGTATCACTGGTGTCTTGCTGCATGGCCACCCAGAGCCTGGCAAGATGGCTCTGTGGATACAGGCACTTGTTGCTGAGTTTGATGCCTAGGACCCACATGGTAGAGGGGGAGAACTGAGTTCCACACACTGCCTTTGACCTCCTCTTCTGCTTAGATTGTTCTCTGTTAATTTTCCTTTTTCTCTGGCCGGCATCTCTGACTCAGACTCTATATAGGTCACAAGTACCTAGGCGAGCTATTAGGTAGACCTGGAGGAACCGGGAGATGCCCTCTTCCTCGTCAGGACCAGGGGTCCATCTGGGGCCATCCCATCGGGATCCCTGGATCCCATCTGTTTGTCTGAAAATTATGAGGACGATGAGCCCTTGGTGGGCCTTAGTCCAATCTGTGCAGTTTTTGGCCTGATAGAATCTGGCCAAAACCGACACTCTGAATTCCTCGGAACTCTGGTACTCTATCTTGGAACATGATCTGTCTTGGGCCCCTTTCTTTTGTCTAAGTGCCATCCTTTTGTGTGCTAGTCATTTGCTATCTGTATATCCTTGGTAATAAAATGTCTATTCATGGCTTTTGCCCATTTTCTACTTGGATCATTTGTTCATGCCACTGTTAAGTTTCATATAGATTCTCTATCAGACATGTGGTTGCTTAAATTTTTCACATGACTTGTACCAGGGAAAAATGAGTACATTTTACCAACCCTTCATGCATGACCATTACTGACAAAAGAGACGTGGGGCTGGAAATGTACCTCAGTCAGTAGAGCAAGAGATTCCTATTTCTAACTTGTGTCTTCCCCCTTTTTAGGAGCAATAAAATCTACTCTATTAATTAGGGTTTTCTGTTCTAAAAAGTTATCTAAGCTTTGTAACTTAACAGTCATCCAGGTAATAATGGTTTTAAAGACATAAAGGGATTTTATTTTTGCTATGGTTAACCCCTTCCTTCAGCCTAGACAGAGGGACAATCTAGTCAGCTTCTGCCAACAAACTGCTTTCAGACATAATTCATTTACCTTTTTGCCTTTTATTTTGGTCACTGACAATTTTCTTCTTTCCCTGGCTCTGTTATACATGGCTTGTTTTTAGAATGTCGTGCCTTTCCAGGGCCTGGTAGGACATGTGTTTTACACAAAAATCCTGCCTGTTCCGTCTACAGCAAATCTACATTCTTGTCACTAAGAGTTTTAAGTTACTCTGTCTCTTTAAATGTCCTGTCTGATTGCTAAGTTAAAACTAGTTACAGTCAGCTGGAGAGCTCTGAGTAAACACCCCTCCACAGCTTCTCAGTTTAAATCCAGTTCTCCAGACAGAGCCTGCACTAATGTCACTGTAGCCATATTAAGAAAAAATTTATAACAGGAATAAACCTTATCCATCCCCCTGTATATGTTTTCAAAGGTTAAACTTAAAAACAAAAAACTGAAAACAAAGTTGTCTATCCAGATTTACCTAGACAACACTCTTGATGCTTTCAGAGATCTACAGAATATGGCATTTAAAAAGTTGACTAAAAAAACTTATAAGACAGAGAATCCCAGATCCTGACTGTGACTCAAAGTCTCCAAAGAAGATTACAGGATACCTCAATGTCTACACAACGCTGACCAGGGGACAAGATGCTCCGATACACACCTGCTGCCAGGACCTGGCCCAGGCCATGGACAATCGACAGGACATTGGAGAATTGATTGTGCCCCTTTTGCCTAGACAAAATAAGGTCAGTCTTTTCCATGTCCCTCTTACATAGAGAAAAAAAAACTCTGATGTTATAGGCCTGGCAAAGATTGATGCTGGTCTTTGATACTTCTGCCTGCTAATAGAGACTTGGGTATGACAGGACCCTGTCATTTTTTAATAGATTCAAAAGCTGTATAAAATTTATCCTTCTCAGATCTCTGATAGTATTAGTGGTTAAACTATAGCCAGTTTGATAGCTCATTTAATAAAGTTCTGATAAGCTGACAAAACAGTGACTATCTGCTACTCAGTCTCAAGGTTAGATTTATTTTCGATGTCATCTAAATAAACATAAAGGGCTTTTCATCAGGCCAAAGACACCTCTGTCCAATCTATACCTGACTCTCTGGACACAAGAAAAAATGTACAAGCTTCTAACTCAAACCTGTGTTTTTTTCTAGGACTCAAAGGTATAAATCTGTTCCTGCTGTTTTACAGATATATGATATCTGATATCTGCTTTTTCTATTTCAGTAAAGATTGGTAATGCTAATATGTCTAAAACTGTTGTCCTTTTACATAATAAAGTTCATACAGGCTTCAGAGGATCAAAGTCACAAAGCTTGGAACCACTTCTCACAGGTCAAAAGTACTCCAGGTAAGTACAGTTTTTTGTTATCCAACCTGTCTGTTCCTAAGAATGGGATTTTATCCCTTGGTATTGGGACTTCTGCCCTTTCTGATCACTAAAACTATGAACCTAAGAGTTCTGATTAAGTATATGAGTTTTAACTTCTGTCCCCAGTTTAAACATGTCTCAAACAGGTTTCTGCTTCTGGTTTCTGCTTCTGGCAGACACATCAGAGCACCAATTGGTGACTATAGCCTGCACCTAAAGGCTGCGAACTCTAGACTTACCATGGATATGAACGGGTCCAGGTGATGTGAGCACTCCCTGTCTCTTCGAGTCTGCCAACCAGATGCCTCTAATAAATACCCATTGCCTAAATTCCCTCTTTGCTTTTGACTAGCATTTCAGCCTGCTTGGGCCCCTGACTACGACACCCCAAAGTCAGCAGGAAGTAGCACAGAAAAGAATATGTTGCCCCTTTTCCCTGGTTGAGATGCTAAGTCAATAAAAAGCTCCCTTACATAGAAAACAAGATGTCAATAGAAATTGTCCACTAGTAACCCAAAATTGAGTTACCTATAAGAAGAGGAGGGAATGAAAGGGGTAAACTGAACTAAAAAGCTTCACTTCTAGGAATCAAGGGACCAGACCCTCACTCAGCCTCTGCTTTAGCAGCCATGACAGGCTACAGAAAAGACACGGAGGCTTCTGACACAAGGAAACTCCAGATCCTCTGGCCTCCTGGAGCCTAGGACCAAAACTGAACACAAAGAAACTACAGACACAACTCCCCTCCTCTAGCCTCCTATGTACTTGGTTCCTGGGAACTGTTTGGCCACAAAAGAAACTCCAGGGGAGACTAAAACCTCCCCTATAGTCTCCAGGATACAGTTCTGAAAACTACTGGTATCTATGAACAACAGGTCACCTGCAAGTAACAAGACAAAGCCATAGAAACCACAGAATATTCCCTCTCAGCACTGACCAATGAGAATACCTGGTACACAGATATTTCATGCCAAAATATGACTTTGAGAAATTTCTTGATTGTCCCCCAAAAGAAGACCAATCAGAAACCAACCTGTACCTACTGATGTAATCATGACCAACTTGTCTTTAAAACCTAGCAGTAGACAGGGAACTTCACCCCCTCTGGAGACTGCTGCTATGTCAGCTTGCTAGACAGGGTCCCTCCCGCTAAAGGATAGGCAATTTAATAAACCTG